GGATTCGAGGAGGTTGGACTGCCTCACCCGCTACCTAAGAGAGACGGTGGCCCTGGCGAAAAGCACGCTCTTCGGGGCTCCAGACATTTCGAACGGATAGGCTACCACACACATACAACAACAACAGCAGCAACAACAAATACCCAATTCTATCCAATCTTGGCGTTTTCCTTCTGTTCAAGTTCTCTAATAAGTTCCCTAAGTTATTCTTTGTGTATCTCTTGCCGCGTTTGCCTTCTGCTCCTGTTGTGAGAGAAAAATGTCTTTAAGCTTTTACATTGACCCAAGGATTCTTGAAACTGCGTAATTTAATTTGTTTCCCCCTAAATTATATATATTTTTTTATCGTTAATGACCACAGCCACCCGTCCTTCATAAATGGTGTAGTACGTATCAGCTGTTTTCGATATCCATTCATTACATTGTCAACCGTTGTGGTACATTTGTCATCAAATGTAATTTTGAATATCCTGAATATTCAAACTTATAAACTAGTTGAACCTCACAACTCCGCAACCGGCGTCTGTGATAGGCACTTTACTGTCTCACACGAGAAAAACAAGTTCGATTCCCGAGTGGGGCCCGGAGACTTTAATCTGGTAAGGCCTTGTATCCTCGTCTTTCTGTTGGGATGTTGCATCCCTCTTCTAAATTATCTCTTAATTGTGTTGATGGTGGCGTAAAAACGGCCACATCTTATTAAAATGTAAAGATTATATATGATTATAACTGTAGCTTATGTTCACGTTCATCTGACGGCCCTTAAAAAAAGGTAAAAATGAATTCAATCCTCTCAGGTCTCTGCATACAGGTCTACAAGTTGGGGGGCCAAAAGATAACTTACAGAGTACTTTCCGAGACACACCAAGAAGCAACTGAAGGTCTTTTTGTACATATAAATAGATAATTATTATGTGTAGGCTATGTTTAGAACTGAATCGTCATTATTTTGAATTCTCCGTTTACCTTGATACTTTGGACTGACTTCTTTTTAGGACTGTTTCTCTTTACCACATTAAAGAAACCAGGTGGCATAAAGCAGCCTTTCCCAACCTTTTCTTTTAATTTCTTCTATTTAAAAAAATGCTGTATTATACTCCCTCCATTCATGCAGCAGAATTCCATCTGGCCCCTGTTCAGAGTTCAAATTTCGAATAATTAATGACACCCGCATTTATTTTCTTGTACGGATTGGCGCCGTAAAGGGAGGTAATGCTCATATTCCCCCAGCCCACTCTGTGTGAACGTTTGGAAAGCGGCATAAAACAAAACGAAAACAAACATATCAAACTGACACTCAGATCTAGATTCTAGATCTAGATTCTAGATAAATCTAGGAATTCAGTGAGAAGTTCATGTGCAGTGTTTAACGAGAGGAGAGAAATAGTTTCGTTTTATTTGTCCATGGCATCTCTTTCTCAGATGGATGAAAACATTCCTGTTGGCGACGAGGAAGAGAAGATGGAAATTATGGAAGCTTCCAAGACGACCAAGAACGGCGATTCTGACGACTCTGACTCTGACAGCGGAGATGAGGACCAAAAGAACGAGGAGAAGGAGTCTTCAATAAATGCATTGAACAAAGAGGTAGATCTAGACTAGATCTAGACTCTAGTATCCAAATCTAGATAAAATTAAAAGGGAGTGTATACAGACCCGGTAACCGGGAACAAAGTCACCAAGTATACAGACCCGGTAAGGGAACTCTTTTGTGATTTCGGAGAGTTTCCAGCGCCCTCTTGGCTCAGGGTAGACCTAGGTTCTTCTAGATCTATGATCTAGATCTAGATCTAGGCAGTCAAACTTAAATCTTTGTTCTAGTTTCGCGGCTAGCGTAGATTTATAGACACCTGCCCTTGGCGCGACCGTGCCCTGAGCGCGACCAGTTCCCCATTTTTCCTTCTGTGCAGCTCGTGTGCAATCTGTTTTATTAGAGTTACATGCCTTGTCTAGTTCCACTTTTGGTCAATCCTTTTCCAAGAACGTCAGTCGTCTGCTAGTGCAGCAGTCGAGTTTGAAGTGAAAGGCTAATCAGAAAAATTCTTAGAGAAGTTTTCTTTAGTTACTTAACTAGAGTAGCTGGCCCAACCCGCAACCACTTGTCTCTGTACCCTCTGTTATCAATAAGATAATTGTTTTCATCATGATTTGATAAAGAAATGATTTTACTAACCCTTAAATGGTGTACTAATAACTTTCTTGCACCTGTCATATCTGTGCGCACATGGTCGCACCTTGTTCCGTTTGCGGTCGCGCTGAGGGCATGCGGTCGCGCCAAGGGCAGAGCATTAACATGTTAAAATGCGAAATCTGAGAATGACGTTTTGGAATGATTGACGATATCACAGTATAAACCGGAAGTTGACACACTGAAGCGGCCCTGAACATGGATTGCATGACCTATTTTGCTGACAGAGACCGCTGAGAAGCAAAATACGACAAGTGGTCGCGGGTTGGGCCAGGTACTCTAAATGAAGATTGCGGATGTCTTTTCGATGAACGATCGTTTTTCCTCCGTTTTGGAGTTGGAGGAATCACAATTTGAAGAAAACAACAAGTTACAATCAAGATGTCATAATTTCAATCGAGCAGCCCCCCTCTCTCTTTCTCTCTCCTCTGTGTATCGCTCGCCTTCTCTTTTTCTTTGTTTGTCTCTGTCATTCTTTGTCCCCACCTATTTCCCA